ATCACTACCACCCACCCCTTGATTGCTCCTAAGGTCCTCAACTCTGGCTTTGATTTGAAAGGCTATCAAGTGAGCACTGATATTTGCAGAGCAGTCTGTTACGCATTCTCCACCCCCTTCTGACATACCCTGTGCCTTCTCTCCAACAAGGTAGTGATCTGGAGACTCAACAAATAGATTTTCACAGCCTGGAAGCCTTCTGTTCCAGGAAGGGCTCGTGCTCACCCGTGGCCATGGAATGGGACAGGCATGGTTCTCCATAAAGGAATTGTCATGTGGGGGCGGACAGAAGGGTTCTGGGAGCGGATCAAGCCATTAGGTGTTACTGTGAAAAACTTAAAAGGGCGGACCTGACCGAGGTACAGTAATCGATGTTGAGACTTAGCTGGCTCCACGTAGCTTGACCTTGGAAATCATATAGCGTAAACATCTCAGGGGGATGGGTTATTACGATTCACTAAGAGGTGTCATATATGTCGTATTTCAAATGCCGAGTTTCAAAACAACCAAATGCAATGAGATACTGAACAAATTCTGATCTGTCTTTGAAGCTACATTGTGATTGATACAAAGATTTATTGTTCTCTTCTAGATTGATTCTTGGTGGGTAGAAAAACACCAGGAGGTGGAAAGGGAGATTGACTTGATGTCTAAATGTTCTGACTTCAGAAGTTGCTCTTTAAAAGAAATCCCTGGTAGTAAGGGGTTCCTCATCTCTTTTAAAGTTGAGTGCCAGGGAAAAATAATTCCAGTCTTAAGAGCTTGATGGCTATTTAGAAACTGAAAAAGGAGAAGACTGTATTCTTTCCTTGTGTTTTCTTTCCTGTGAAGAAAAAGATGAATGAACGGTTTGCAGTCCGTATCTGGGAGTAGGAAAGTTTGGGTCCACCTCAGTCCTGTTCTATGCTAACCACGAGGCTGATTAATTTTTGATGTCAAATCCAAGACTCATGTTAAGTCGGAGACTGGAAAATATTTTGCACATTCAGAAGCCATCTCAGATATGGAGAAAAGGCAGACTCCTGCAGTTGGAGAGCTGAGATTGGGGAGCATGAATTTGGAAAGAGCTCTCCTTTTCCTGAATTCTTAGTTAATAACGACATGGCTGGGCATCACAGAGGTCACAGTATTGTCTTCACAGTTCAGGGCGACCCACACTCCTGTCGGATGTTGACAAGAACACAGGTGCGTTAGGCTAAGATCCTGGACAAAAGCAAGTTCTGGGATCTAGGCGCCGTCAATCTTGCGCGCTCCACACCCTCCCAGTGGAGCTCACGACTCGCTTCTCAAATGCGTGAAGCAGCCAAAGCTAGTGTCCTTGTCCCGTCCTCCTGGGGTCTGTGCTACATCCTGTTGCCACAGTGGATTGGCCCCTGGGCTCGAGCGTTCCCCCTCATAAGGTCACGCGTCCTCCAGCAGAGCAGAGTGCCCAGGGGCCTGTCCCGACGGGAAAGGGCAGGATGCACTTAAAGGGCGCTACGCCTGGGGCGCTGCGAATGTCCATCCCCTATGCTGGCCACCATGACTGCCACCACTGCCACCCCACTGGAGCTGGCATTTGTGTACATCGTCTCTTTTTTTAGGGGGTGGGAGTGGGAGTAACAAGAATAATTGCTTACTAAGGAAAACTGGGAAAGGACAGAAAATTACAAAGTAGATCCACCTATAATGGATAATCACTGTTAAAACTTTGGGATGTTTCCTTCAGGGTGGTTTACTGAGGCTCGTTTTCAAAGCCTCCTGGAACCACTGAATAAATAGTTTTCAGGATGGCTGTTGCCTCTGCGTTATATCAGGCCACTCCCCGTGTCATGAAAGATGCTTTGAAAACGTTTCTCTCTCGATGAGCAACATTCCATTGCACGAGGCCACCTGGTTTATTAGATCATTTCTCCAGTGGCAGACATTAGCTGGTTTTGCTTTTGCACTGTTAGAAACTATACAGAGGCAGTGTGGTGGTACGCAGTTGGCCTATGTGGTCCATATGTTATTGTTCCTTTTTTAAATTTTTCAAAAATTGTGGCAAAATACACATAAGATAAAATCTACCCTTTTAACTGTGTTTGAGTGTACAGTTCATTGGCATTAAGGACAGTCACACTGTTGCGCAGCCATCACCACCATCCATCTCCAGAGCTCTCTTCACCTTCCCCATCTGAAACTTTATACCCATTAAATACTAAGTCCCCATCACCTGTCCACCCCCCCACTCCCTGGCCCCTGGCAACCACCATTCTACATTCTGTCTTTATGAATTTGACTACTCATATGAGTGGAATCCTACAGTATTTGCTGTTTTGTGACTGGCTTATTTCACTTCGCGTGTGTCATCAAGGCTCACTCATGTAGCCTATGTCAGAATCTCCTTCCTTTTTATGGCTGAATAATATTTCGTTTGTATATATACCACATCCTGTTTATCTAATTCATCCATTAATGGACACGTGGGTGGCTTCCACATTTGACTATTGTGAGTAATGCTGCTGTGAACATGGGAGCACAGATACTGGTTCGAGTCTATATTTCCAATTGTTTCCCGAAGGGTTGTGCCAGTTTCTTCTCCACCATTAGTATAGAGACCCTTTTCTTGCCACTTTTACCAATACAGATATCACCATTTAAAAAGAATCTGTGCCAGTGAGACAATGTACTACTTTGCGTCTCTTATTACTGATGCTGATGTTTTGCATATGTTCATTTTCCATTTGGATTTTTTCTGTGAATTATTGTTTTCCTAGATTGCTCCAAATGTAATTCTTTAGACTATGCCAATTGGACAGACTTTGGTTTCTTCCCTGGCTTTTGAGATAACTCGTCATAACCTAAGGAAAAGGAGTTTATTTTTTACTACAAATTTCTTAGATGCTGTAGCACAGAACCCTAAAACTCCAAATAATTTCCTCTTCCCCTTTTGGTCTGTGCACCTCCACTTCTCTGCAGATGTTGTGTCAGCTCACCTTCTCGAGGTGAGTGAAATTCAGGTTGATTGTTAGAACTGTCACTTCAGGGATAACGGGTGAGGGCCATAGATTCTGAGGGTTTGACAGAGCTTTAAAGGTAATCTGGGCATTGCTGGGTGGGTGCTTTACGTGCCCACACGGGAACCATGAGCTCTCGTGGAATAGACCTCAAAGCTCCATCTCCCATTTATTAGCTATGTGACCTTAGGCAAGTCACTTAGCCTCTCTGAGCCTCAGTTTCCTTACCTTAAAATAAGTTTGATTAACCAGTGGTTAACCTTTCCTTGCCTTCCTCTTCTGTCCTCATTGGACCCCCTATTTTTAAAGATTTTGATCTTTAGCATTTATTAATTGATCTCTTGGGCACCCTCGTCACCTGGGTTATTTCTGCTAGGTTTTGTGAAGTACTGAAAACGGTTCAAGGACCCCTCCCTTACCACCATCAGAGACCTGCAGGTGTTGGGGGACCCCTGCGGTTAAAAGTTAGTGGAAAGTAGATGATCTGTCAGTTTTCCTATCACCTTTCTATCTGGCACTGAATCTTATTTTTAGCAGAACCTGGGAGGTAGGCGGGTAAATGTCATTTCCAGTCTCAGAAAACAGAGATTCTTAAAGGTTCAGAGTCTTGCTCAAGGTCACACAGTGATGTTGAGACAAAGGACGGACTCCAGCTGGGGTTCCTTTCCTTGGAAGGGCAGCTGCCCTGTAGACTTTTGCATAAGTCCACATGCTGATGGCTTTTTAACCACTGTCACTGGCCCAACACCATGTCCAGAACCAGCAGGCACTCACCAAGGAGTGGCCCATGCATTCTCATTTGTCCCCCTCGCCCCCAGGTACGTGGTCATCTCCCGGGAGGAGAGGGAGCAGAACCTGCTGGCGTTCCAGCACAGCGAGCACATCTACTTCAGGGCGTGCAGGGACATCCGGCCCGGGGAGCGGCTGCGGGTCTGGTACAGCGAGGACTATATGAAGCGCCTACATAGCATGTCCCAAGAGACCATCCATCGCAATCTGGCCAGAGGTGAGTGCCCACCCTCTAGGTGAGGGCCATGCCTGCCGCCACCGTGCCCCATGGGAGGCCAGGAATGCTTCTCTAGAAGCGTCCTAAGAAAACCGATGGGAAATTTAGTACGCCAGCAAAGGGGAGACCCAGAGGGCGAACAGATGGTCCAGGTCTGAGCAGCAGCTCTGGGCAGGGTCGTGGGCACCACTTACCCTCCATGAGAAACCGTCTCAGAAACCCTATTACATATAAATGTATTATTATACATTTCAGTGTATCAGGGAGAGAGGCAAGTCCCTAAAGCCAAGTACATAAATTTTAATCAAAATTGATCCTATTTCCCCCCCTCAAATTGATAGAAAGATGTTGTAAACTGCCACTGATGCGGTAACAGGTAACAGGTAACATTTACTAAGGACTTAATATGTGCTCAGCAGGTGTTCTATGGTGTCCCATGAAATCATGACATCAGTAGCACCCACTTGTACCCATGCTGAGAGAATTAGCTGGATAATACACATTTGGAACAATGTCTACCTTGACTGTTGTAAGCCCTCAATTGTAGACTTTTAATACTAACGATTCATGTGGATTATTATTCCCATCTTACAAATGTAGATAAATACAGCGACTCACCCAGGGTTGTATGGCTGGGAAGGGCAGAGATGGGCTTCTAACTCATATGTGTCGGAGTCCAAGGTCTAAGCTCTAACCTATAATGTTCTGTGGTCTCCCAGACAAAACTAGTTATTTCCCTGCTTCCTCCTGGTCTCATTCCTGGAAGTCCTAATGCTCTGTTATAAAAGAACAGTATCTATTAGAACAAGAAGGTTGGAGGGAGGTAACCTTAGGTGTGTATGGTGACCTGGTGGGTGAGATGTCCATCTAGGCTCCATTTAAATGAGTCATTTAAAAATGGCTTAAAATACTTCCAGTCACTAGCCCTTTGCCTCTTTACTCCACCCTCAGCCTGGCCAGGGCAAACTGGTGAATCCAAGGCTTTCTTTCCATGGGACCTCCCTTACACTAAAACCATACATTCAAAGACCCAGAGTCCATTTGGTCCCAGGAACCAAGGCTACCCCAGACCCCACTATATCATATCTCTGACCAACCTACTTGGAAATACAAGCTTCATTTGGAGTATGAGTGGAGAAGATGAGAGGGGGGTGAGAGTGGCCCACTGAAATTAAGCTATCTTTAAAAACAAAACACCAAAGCAGATTGTGGACATTGAGTGCACAGCGGCTGCCTGACTTGGTAAAAGGTATCTGGTGATTGGATGGGCAGTGAGAAGAGGCCCAGTAGACACACTCATCTCTTGTCTTCTTCGGATCTGGGGGTTGGGCACATGCTGGTTTCACCTGGGAAGGCATGTTTCCATGATGAGATCGCCATGGTTTCCATTTGACCTCTGGAAGTGCCTCATGTAAAAGCATCTGATACATTGTAGGTGCTCAATCTTTGTTGAATGGATAAAAGAAGAAACAAATGAAGACAGCCAAGAAGTCTCCAAAAGAATCATACCACCAGAAGAAGAGAAAATCAAGAAAAGTCATATTTGAGGACACAGGTTCCATCCTTTGACATAATCTTCTTGAATTCTGGATTTGTAATGTCCCTTTTTCCCCAGTGTCTTCTCCAAAGCACTTCAAGCTGCTTCATACTCAGAGAGCCCTAAGACCCAGAGGGAATGCTCAGAGAAGGGAGTGAGCTTTTAGGAGTGGCTCAAAGGAGCATGGCAGACTTGACATGAGCTACACCTAGACATGTGAAGACATGGGAGGAAGGAGTGTCTATTCTGACCAGGCTGAGAAGTAGGAAACAGGAAGGAAGCCGAAAGCCCCCATGGGGCAGGGCTAGGGCAGTAGGCAGGCTCGGTCCTAAAGTCCTCGGGAGCAGTCGTGGAGCTCAGTGGCCTTTAGACGTAGTGTCTCTGCAGCCTGTAGCTTTGGCAGACACTGGTAATCGGTAGTGGTGTCTTAGATCTGCATGCCAGTCCTGCTCAGGAAGGGGCACCCCCCCATGCTCAATCACTTAAGGTCTTGCATGGAAGGAGGCTTCTTCGTAATTGGAGGCTGGAGCCCTGATAAAGGCCAGAACATGAAATATTAGTCCTTATCAAGTAAGGACATTAGTTGGTGCCAAGAACTGCTTCCTGAAGAGAATATAAATTATTTCTTTGTGGTTACCTTTTAAGAATAGGAGTATCTAATGCATGTATTCAAAGAATTTATGGTATTTGATCTACTTTGAGTCACTGATTTACTTGAAGTTTTCTCCATGTTTTGTGGAGGCTTTAGTATCAATTGCATAATGCTTACAGGTCTTTTTTGACCCATGAGTTTTCTAGAAGCTTTGAGTACAAAGAGGTCTCCTGCTCATCCTAGGACATCTGAATGACCGTGTCTCTTTGCAGAGTAGCTTGAGGAATTCCTGGTGATGAGTAGTCTTGACCTCCAGGCATCCTCAGCTATTTGCTGCCTGATTGGTCCACGAGAAAGTGAAAGGGTGGTCTGTCTTTTAGAGATTCTGAATGGGCAGATGTCATCTCTAATCTGTACAAACATGTTGCATTTTTAAAAGTTCTCTTCACCTCCACCCTTTCCACCCCTCGGCTGTTATAGAAATGCAGCCTGCCTGAGTTTCAGGAGCCATGAAGATGAGATCATGCCCTAAGCATTCACATGAGGACAGAAAAGGGGCATCCTAAATAGGTTACTTGCTTTTGTGCTGTAACCTGTAGGAAATCTGGAGTGACACATGGGCCAGGGCACAGCACCCCATGTCTGTTATGGGAAGCCAAGGCCTGATCACAGCATGGACCATCTGATTTGCACATAGAGGTCCCTTGGCCTTTCCTCGGAGGCCTATATCAAATGCAGCTATCAGAAGCCTAATTAAAACATATAAATGGATTAAGTTTTGCTCAGTCACATCTCCGAGTACCTGCCCCTGATCTAGGAAGCCTTTAAGGTTTCCTAGCTGCACAGGCTGCTATAAGGACCTCCTGAGGACTCCCCCCTTAACACCTGTCCCCCCACGCAGTGCTCGCACTTCTGTAGCAATTTATGAAACTATGCCAGCCAGTGTAAAGATATGGCTAAAATAATTCATTCTTGGGGAGCTCACCAAGGTTTTTTAAGTCATTTACACGATAGAAAGAAATAGAAAAGGAAGCATCCTTTGCATTGTCAAGTAAGGAAGCAGCTGTATTTTGAGAATGCCTTGGGGTCGGTGTGGCCGTGTTGTTCTACCTTGCTGGAGGCTGCCAGCTTGGAGCTGTAGCCACCGACGGCGTCCCATCTTGCATTGTCTTCCTGCCTTACTCATCATACTTTCTCACACACTCCTAGTTTTCTGATAACTGGGAGAAATAGAAAGGACACTTGCTCTAGGAGGACTTCACCCTAAGTGGGTTGTCCTCAGAGTGTGAGGGAGGAGGAAGGAGTGGGACTCAGTATTTCGTGTGTACCTTTTACCAAGTCGAAGCAGCCATCTTCTAATTGCTCGGGTTGGACCAGAAGCCTGGGGGGTGGGGATCCACCCATCCGCACTTAGCTCTCAGGAACGTCACCGCCCATTCATTTGATGGAGCAGGGTGTCATCTTCTAGGGCGATAGGATGGCAAGTACCTTAGAAAGAACTTCCAATTACCCTCCCCCATAGCATTCTCTCAACTGATAAATGCAGAGCTTGTATGTGTAAGGCTCCGCTGAAACGGTCTCTTTAAAAAGAGTTCTCTGCTTTTTTGGGTCCTGTGATCCCATGACCTACCGAGGGATCGGCCTCTCCCTTTTTGTCACACCTGCCCCATGAGGCCAGGCCCACAGGGATGTGTCAAGCGACTTCCTAGCCGGAGGCCTGCTTTGTTTTCTGCCTGTTTCTCCACTGGGGGCTTTTCCCCCCTTCCTCACACCCTGGTTTTCCTTCCTAGGAGAGAAGCGGTTGCAGAGGGAGAAGTCTGAGCAGGCTCTGGATGACCCAGAGGACCTGAGGGGTCCCATTCACCTCCCTGTGTTGAGACAGGGCAAAAGTCCCTACAAGCGAGGCTTTGATGAGGGGGACGTGCACCCCCAGACCAAGAAGAAGAAAATTGACCTCATTTTCAAGGATGTGCTGGAGGCCTCACTGGAATCTGCGAAGGTGGAAGCCCATCAGCTGGCCCTGAGCACCTCGCTGGTCATCAGGAAAGTCCCCAAATACCAGGGCGATGCCTACAGTCGCTGTGCAATGACCATGTCGCATGGCTTGCAGAATGTCAGCCGGACCCAGGGGGAAGGGGACTGGAAGACCCCCCAAGGGGCTTCTACGGAGCCAGGCCCCTTGGAGGATGAAGAAGAGGAGCCTTCATCATTCAAGGCCGACAGCCCTGCCGAGGCCTCCCTTGCATCCGACCCTCACGAGCTTCCCACCACCTCCTTTTGCCCTAATTGTATTCGCCTAAAGAAGAAGGTTCGGGAACTGCAGGCAGAACTAGACATGCTTAAGTCTGGGAAGCTTCCTGAGCCCCCGGTACTGCCAGCACAGGTACTGGAGCTCCCAGAGTTCTCGGACCCTGCAGGTAAGTGGGTGTGGATGAGGTGTTGACAGTGGGCAGTGTGAGGGGGCCTGGTGCTCCCTGCTGGAGCCACCTTCGGGGAAACCTGAGGCGGGTGACTCGGAGGTGAGCTCTGGCCACAGCCAGCGCCTTCAGGTGCGGGCCTCTGACAGGTCGCTTTGCAGCTCTGGTGGGTACTTCATGTCTTGCCCTGTAATCTCCTCGTCAATAAAGGACATTCCGCTGCAGAGGTGTGTGTGCTGTGTTCTTGACCCGTTGCCTTTCTCTGGTGGTCCTAGTGGTGGCTGACCCCCAAAGCCCAGCTTCTAAACTCAGTCTTTCTCTCTGCCCAGGCCTAAGTGGGGCGTCCTGTCAGGGAAGGCTCCCAGCCTTCCCAGACTCGGTCCAGGAACACAGCCTCATTCCCCTCTTCCCGACTTGCTGTTCTGCCACACGGTCCCGTCCCGCTGCCTGGGGTCTTAGCGGGACCTGGGCCTGGGCATTCGGCTGCATGCTTCTGCCCTCTTCTGTGGCTTCCTGGATGTCTTCGAGCTGGTTGACAACGAGGAGGGATTTTCAGTACACATCTGCAGCTAGAGTGTTTACACAGCACTTTCTATTTTAACCATATCTCTTAGCTCAGAATGAGGTGTTTCAGATATTCAAAGCATGCATCTGATCTAAACTGTGTTCTGGTCCTGAAATAACCTGGGGCCATGCCAAAGCTGCCTCCATTTAGGGTAGCACGCCACCCCTGACATTAGTGGTGGGACAAAGGGGTCCCATGTCCTCGCTCTCTGACATGCTTCTTCCTCTCCTGGTCCTGCTGGTCAGTTGATACCAAACATTGAAGTTCCTTGAGCGCCCACTAGTGGAGGGTGAGGGCAGGAAGCCTGGAGCACGGTGGCCACTATGCTGTGGATAATCCACAAAGCAGGAAAGCCACACGTGGGTAACAAGAGTGCTTGTAAATAAATTCTAGGCTGGGGCTGAGTCTGTCGTAGGAATTGACTTCTGTTTCACATAGTGTGGCACCTACCTTTTGGGCAGTGTTTCCTGTTTATTTTAGAAAAGTCTATGTTTTTTCCCCCAGGTGTAAACGTTTCTTTCCCATTTGTCTTACAGCCTCAGAGAGCATGGTCTCTGGCCCTGCCATCATGGAAGACGACGACCAGGAGGTCGATTCAGCAGACGAATCCGTCTCCAACGATATGATGACTGCCACCGATGAGCCCTCCAAGATGTCGTCTGCCACCGGGCGCCGAATCCGGCGCTTTAAGCAGGAGTGGCTGAAGAAGTTCTGGTTCCTGCGGTACTCCCCGACCCTCAACGAGATGTGGTGCCACGTCTGCCGCCAGTACACGGTGCAGTCCTCCCGCACCTCGGCCTTCATCATTGGCTCCAAGCAGTTCAAGATCCACACCATCAAACTGCACAGCCAGAGCAACCTGCACAAGAAGTGCCTGCAGCTCTACAAGCTCCGCATGCACCCCGAGAAGACGGAGGAGATGTGTCGCAACATGACCCTGCTCTTCAACACCGCCTACCACCTGGCCCTCGAGGGCAGGCCCTACCTGGACTTCCGGCCCCTGGCTGAGCTGCTGAGGAAGTGCGAGCTCAAGGTCGTGGACCAGTACATGAATGAGGGAGACTGCCAGATCCTCATTCACCACATCGCCCGGGCGCTGCGGGAAGACCTGGTGGAGCGCATCCGCCAGTCGCCTTGCCTCAGCATCATCCTGGACGGGCAGAGCGAGGACCTGCTGGCCGACACGGTGGCCGTCTACGTCCAGTACACCAGCAGCGATGGGCCCCCGGCCACGGAGTTCCTGTCCCTGCAGGAACTGGGCTTCTCTAGCACAGAGAGCTATCTCCAGGCACTTGACCGAGCCTTTTCTGCCTTGGGCATCCGGTTGCAGGATGAGAAGCCAACCGTTGGCCTGGGTGTAGACGGGGCCAACATCACAGCCAGCCTGCGTGCCAGCATGTTCATGACGATCCGCAAGACGCTGCCCTGGCTGCTGTGCCTGCCCTTCATGGTGCACCGGCCCCACCTGGAAGTCCTGGATGCCATCAGTGGGAAGGAGCTCCCCTGCCTGGAGGAGCTGGAGAACAACCTGAAGCAGCTGCTGAGCTTCTACCGGTACTCACCGCGGCTCATGTGCGAGCTGCGGTCCACGGCCTCTACCCTGTGTGAGGAGACGGAGTTCCTGGGGGACATCCGGGCTGTGAGGTGGATCATCGGGGAGCAGAACGTCCTCAACGCCCTCATCAAGGACTACCTGGAAGTGGTGGCCCACCTCAAGGATGTCAGCAGCCAGACCCAACGGGCGGACGCCTCGGCCATCGCGCTGGCCCTGCTGCAGTTCCTCATGGACTACCAGTCCATCAAGCTCATCTACTTCCTTCTGGACGTGATCGCCGTGCTCTCCCGCCTGGCCTACGTCTTCCAGGGCCAGTACCTCCTGGTGTCGCAGGTGGATGACAAGATCGAGGAGGCCATCCAGGAGATCAGCCGACTGGCCGATTGCCCAGGGGAATACCTGCAGGAGTTCGAGGAGAATTTCCGTGAGAGCTTCAACGGGATCGCAGTGAAGAACCTCAGGGTGGCTGAAGCCAAGTTCCAGTCCATCAGGGAGAAGATCTGCCAGAAGACCCAGGTGATCCTGGCTCAGAGGTTCGATTCCCGCAGCCGGATCTTTGTGAAGGCCTGCCAGGTGTTCGACCTAGCTGCCTGGCCCAGGAACAGCGAGGAGCTCATGAACTATGGCAAGGAGGATATGGTTCAGATATTTGATCACCTGGAATCTATCCCGACCTTTTCCCGGGATGTCTGTCGGGAAGGGCTGGATCCCCGGGGGAGTCTGTTGATGGAGTGGCGAGAACTCAAGGCTGATTACTATACCAAAAATGGCTTCAAAGACCTGATCGGCCACATTTGCAAATACAAACAGAGGTTTCCGCTCTTGAACAAGATCATCCAGGTCCTCAAGGTCCTCCCCACTTCCACCGCTTGCTGCGAGAAGGGCCGGAATGCCCTGCAGCGAGTTCGCAAAAACCACCGCTCCCGCCTCACTCTGGAGCAGCTTAGCGACCTGTTGACAATCGCGGTGAACGGCCCGCCCATTGCCAACTTTGACGCCAAGCGAGCCCTGGACAGCTGGTTTGAGGAGAAGTCCGGCAACAGTTACTCTCTGTCCGCCGAGGTCCTCAGCAGGATGTCTGCGCTGGAACAGAAGCCGGTGCTGCAGACCGTGGACCACGGGGCAGAGTTCTACCCGGACATCTAGGGAGCTGGCGTCTCAGAGGTCACTAAGCTGTTGAATATTTTTTTAATCTATACTCATAAGCTTTGATATATTATATAAATATATATTATATTATATATATATAAACCCACACTGAAATTTTTTAAAAACCAAGGTGACACATCCACCAGAAGCTACTGGGAGCTTTCGGAAAGAATTCAGAAACTGACTCTTGTCTACAAAATCTGGCAGCTGCAACATCCGTGGCGACTCATTTTCACTCAGAAGCATGTGCTGGGGCCACACGTGTTCCCACCTAACGGTCAACCAACAGCATAAGCTAAAATGACGGGTCTCTGTCATAGCCTTTAGGTAGCTCGTTTTGTTTATGTTTTCGTTTGGGGGGTGAGAGGCTTGGGTTGGGGTCTATGTCTTGCCTTTCCTTTCCTTGTCTGGTTTTATGATGGGGGTTTCTCGGCCTCTCTGTTGACATGCTGGTCCAGCTGAATCCGACCTCTAATTTTGGATGGGGGGTGGTTGTTGTGTATCTGGATCAGGTGTTCTTTCTCTCCCACCTGACTTCAGCTTGGGAGATTTTTACTCATTTCCTGACGAGCGTTTCTTCACTGTCTTAGCAACGTGTGTTGGTCAAACTGTGACACCCTCTACTCCCCACCTCAGTCATCAGTCCCCTCCCTGGGTTGTTGATTCCCTCCTTCCAGCCCCCCCCCCCC